CACAGACGCTTTTACACACAGACGCTTTTACATACAAACCCTTTTCCACACAAACACTTTTACACACAAACACTTTTACACACGAACACTCTTACACACAGGAGCTTTTACACACAGACGCTTCTACAGACAGAGACTTTTACACAGAGACGCTTTTACATACAGACGCTTTTACACAGAGACCCTTTTACATACAGACGCTTTTACACACAGACGCTTTTACACACAGACGCTTTTACACACAGAGACTTTTACACACAGGACGCTTTTACACACAGAAGCTTTTACACACAGACGCTTTTACACACAGACACTTTTACACACAGACGCTTTTACACACAGAAGCTTTTACACACAGACGCTGACACACAGATCGCTTTACAACAGAGGCTTTTAACCACAAACACTTGTACACAACACACTTTCACACACAGACGCTTTTACACACAGACGCTTGTACACACGGACGCTTTTACACACAGACGCTTTTACACACAGACGCTTTTACACACAGAAGCTTTTACACACAAGTAAAATCGCAATTTTTCCTCAGTTTTTGACGATCGACCCTCATTTCGTGCGAAAGGGTTGCTCCGGCACAAGTAAAATCACAATTTTTCCTCAGTTTTTGACGATCGACCCTCATTTCGTGCGAAAGGGTTGTTTTAGCACAAGTAAAATCGCAATTTTTCCTCAGTTTTTGACGATCGACCCTCATTTCGTGCGAAAGGGTTGCTCCGGCACAAGTCAAATCGCAATTTTGCCTCAGTTTTTGCCGATCGACCCTCATTTCGTGCGAAAGGGTTGCTCCGGGGCAAGTCAAATCGCAATTTTACCTCAGTTTTTGGCGATCGAACCTCGTTTCGTGCGAAAGGGTTGCGTTTCGTGCCGTCTCGTTGGCACTGCCCCTGCCCCCGCCTTCAGAAGAGAAATAGAAAAGAAGGAGAGGGCAAGAGGGGCAAGAGGGGCAAGAGGGCAAGAGGGCAAGAGGGCAAGAGGGCAAGAGGGCAAGAGGGCAAGAGGGCAAGAGGGCAAGAGGTCAAGAGGGCAAGAGGAGAAGATGTGAGATGAGAAGATGTGAAGATGAGAAGATGTGAGAAGATGTGAGAAGATGTGAGAAGATGTGAGAAGATGTGAGAAGATGTGAGAAGATGTGAGATGAGAAGATGTGAGAAGATGTGAGAAGATGTGAGAAGATGTGAGAAGATGTGAGAAGATGTGAGAAGATGTGAGAAGATGTGAGAAGATGTGTGAGAAGATGTGAGAAGATGTGAGAAGATGTGAGAAGATGTGAGAAGATGTGAGAAGATGTGAGAAGATGTGAGAAGATGTGAGAAGATGTGAGAAGATGTGAGAAGATGTGAGAAGATGTGAGAAGATGTGAGAAGATGTGAGAAGATGTGAGAAGATGTGAGAAGATGTGAGAAGATGTGAGAAGATGTGAGAAGATGTGAGAAGATGTGAGAAGATGTGAGAAGATGTGAGAAGATGTGAGAAGATGTAAGAAGATGTGAGTGGAGGTGTGAGAAGATGTGAGAAGATGTGAGAAGATGTGAGAAGATGTGAGAAGATGTGAGAAGATGTGAGAAGATGTGAGAAGATGTGAGAAGATGTGAGAAGATGTGAGAAGATGTGAGAAGATGTGAGAAGATGTGAAGATGTGAGAAGATGTGAGAAGATGTGAGAAGATGTGAGAAGATGTGAGAAGATGTGAGAAGATGTGAGAAGATGTGAGAAGATGTGAGAAGATGTGAGAAGATGTGAGAAGATGTGAGAAGATGTGAGAAGATGTGAGAAGATGTGAGAAGATGTGAGAAGATGTGAAGATGAGAAGATGTGAAGATGAGAAGATGTTTTGCAGACCCCCACTATTGGAAGAACCCTGCGCTCAGACGCTCTCGGGAAAAAACACTATAAGCATCTGTAAGCATCATTCAGCACTTCATCTCCTATTATCCTATTGGCACTGGCGAACCAAACAAACCGATACCAAGTCGTTTTCCATTCGTTTCTTTTGTCCAAGGGTCCATCGCCAGCACAGTTGGATCACTTCCAGGTGGAAGTTCATGCAGATCAACAAGCTCGGAGCCCCAGAGCTGGCCATAGATGACGATTTCATCAGAAACAGTCGGCAAATTTCACCAGAAACAGTTTCTTCGACCAAAGATGCTATTTGAATTTGAGTTTGATTTTTCTTCAAATCAATCTGGAATCAAAGTCTGCGAAGTGTGTTCCTTCGTTGAGTCCCCCTCGAATTTCTTGCCAGGATGGGAGCTGCCTGCAGGCCATCATCGCGCGTTGGGGGGTCTCAGTTTCAAACTGGTGTTTTCAAATGGGGCATAGCTACGTAGAGAAACCTTGTATGGTGTATATAATACTTTAGTAATCTTTAGTAAAAACTTTTTTTGTTTGTTGCAACTTGGAGATACATACTAGCCAACTTAGAAATGCTTCAAACACTTTTTATTGCATGGTATCTGAGATTGGCCATGTTGGCTATTAATACGGACTATGAATCATGCTGATCAACCAGTTGCATGGCGAAGGCCATGTACAGCTGGAAGATAGGTCCAAACTGCAAAATCAGATGGAAAAGAAAGATCAACTTACTAGTAATAGTTGACTTGAGTACTTACCACATTTTTGGACGAACCCTGGGGGATGACGCCCATGGGACTTTGGCGGTCCAAAGTTTGAGAGACACCCCATATCCGCCTTGAAAGGAGCACGAAGGTGTGCCCGCGTGCCCTGTTTTTTCTCGCTTTTCTGTGTGCCTTCACTTTTGAGTTTGAAAGTTCACCTCTGAAGTTGGGTTTCGTTTGAAGTGTATCAATGACTCAAAAGTGTGTCTTTGAAGTGGGTTTTCCTTTCAACTCCAATAACGTGATAAAACCAATGCCACAACTCATCCCCAACTTCAATAAAACTCTTAGGTTTACCGCAAATTACCCCTATATACTTTGTTGGTTAAATCATTTAAATCCCATATACTGTATATCCCCACGGCATCCCCATCCCTAACTTCCAGACAAGTTGGATGTGATGACCTGTAGCCATGGGCTTCCAATTCTTGAGGCTCGACCACGCCGAGTGGCGATTCTGAGGTGATGTTGGTGATCAGGTGCAGCCCAGACCTTGCAGCAAAAGCAGGGAAAGGAAGACACCATTGGGGGATGGGTTGAAACACCATTTTCACGATGGTTTTTATCAACAAAAATGGTGATGATACAAACATGTAGTCGATGGAGGAGGATATCTCGGATAAATTGGTCAACACCTATGGCCCATGCCTGTGACTGCTGGGAGGACAAGTCCTTTCTATTTTGATGTAATCACCCTGGTAATGGTACTGAAGAAAAGACGGATTTTCCACTGTCGCTGGTGACGTCGATCCCTGACTGAAGAGGGTGACTTGAAAGAGTGCCATCTATGGATCCATACGCAGGTTCAACACTACACAATTTTCAACAGTAATTTTGTGACCTAACTGGTACCTCTATTCTGGGTCGCCATCCACCGGAGACGTGGAGACTTCGAACAATTTCGAGGTTGCGAAGTACCCGCATGATAAAAACCGGCCTGCCATGCCAAAGCACATGCGGGTCAGGTTTAGAACAAAGGCAGTACGCGTTTGTTTTTAGCAGAGGCTACTGTCGGTGGGTTTCAATTTTCAATGTCCTTTATTTCAAGATTTGTTTGATCAAGAAGTAAGACGGTTATATTTGGACACTGAATTTCGCCCCCATACTACTCGGATCTTCCGTGTGGACATCTGTGGACAGGTCCTCAGTTTGGATCAATTTCATCCTCATGATCTGCAAATTGTGCCCTGGCGCTGTGACTTCTTTAGGGACGTTTCTTCCGGGGAAGGCATTCAGTTCCACGTGGTGATGTATGCGGATGTCTGTTGTCCGTTCCGACATTTTGCAGCAGGATGAAGGCTACTGGTACCAGGCAAGCTTGGGAAACTTCTCCATTCGCAGTTGGGTTTGTTTGGTACCTTGAGGTACCCATTCCATCCACTGGTTGGTTCGGTTCATCATTTTTCCATATTTTTCCTCTATACAGGTGCCACCGATTGGGGGTTCAGTTAAGGTCCCATTTTCAGACCCCATGGTCAATGGGTACAGATTTTCTTCTTGTTTTTGAGGTACACCTTTCTGATCTCGGGCTCGCTCGCCATGTTGGCGTCGCTGGTTGATTCCATCATTGTCTCTGCCTCAGATGTCAGAGCAGTTGGTTCGACGATGATTTGACGATGATGTCTGAATGATGTCTGGATGATGTAGCAAAGTGGGAAGCTGCAAATTGCTCAAGAGAAACGCAGGAACGACATGGAAAAACCTGCAAGGTAGAAATATGGAGTCTAGGTCTTTGCCTCCATTGCCTTGGGATTTTGAAAGCTTGTTCATACAGAACCCGCAGAAAGTGCTGACACAGCAGACAGTAAATTACCACCCTCTATGCAAGCTGCTATAGAGAGAGATCACTTCCCCCCCCTGCAGACTCTATTGCCGTCATGGCGAGCGAATGGGGTCGTGCTGCGACAGATGAAGAACTGAAACAGAGCGTTCCAACGCTCCATGTCTACGATCACTGCCCATTTTGTGTGCGCGCCAGGATGATTTTTGGATTGAAGAAGATCCCTTTCAAGCTGAACTTCCTGATGAATGATGATGTGGTCACCCCCACCAGGATGACGGGGAAGAAGGTTCTCCCCATCCTGGAACTGGAGGGTGCAGCCATGAGCGAAAGTCTGGACATCGTGGCCAAGATCGATGCCATCGGTGCGCCGATCTTGGCCAAAGCGGCGGAGCGTAAGGATATCGACCAATGGTTGACGGATAACAAGGAACTGATCAGGACGGGGTGGTTGTTGATGGTTATTGATGGTTGCAGATGGTTGCAGATGGTTGCAGATGGTTGCAGGATCTCACGTTCTCTGGAATTGGTTTGACATGTTTGGGTCCCATTCAAATCCTGATCAGCCATAGAACCGTTGGTGTTCTATCTCTATCTATTCTCCCCAGTTTTCCATAGTTTGTAGCCTGAATCCCCATGAACTCCCCTGTAGCTTCCGCTAACCCTCAGGAAAGTCACGCGGCCGCGCGACGCGCGGGCCTTGTTTCCGGAGTTCGCCACCAAGGCGGCGAGAGCCATGTGGGTGAAGAACCACCAGCTCTCAGGCGGGGCAAAGGGCTCCTGGTGGCCCAAATGCCATGGGTCTGAAAATTCATAGCGACTTGAGCGGCTGACCTCGGCATATCTATACATATATACGTAGCATTTAAGATTGGTTGGAAAAGGGACATGGAATATGAAGAATTTCTTATGAATCATTTTTTTTAGATATAATTTGCTCAGATGGAAGTTACCACCCAAACGTGGGAATGAAACTCAACAACAATGGGTGTATTTTGGGTATAGGCTATAGGATTTTTGGCCTTGGGAATGAGAGGGTCAGTTTGAGTACTACATCATCCCATTTTGAAGCATTCGCTTTCAATTTTGACCCAGACGCAAACAAATCAGTGGGTTTTATCTAACCTGATCTAACTAAGCTTTACCTGCCCTTCATCCAACCGCAATCCAATCTTTATCCAACCTTAATCTAACCCTTACTGTATCAGCCTTATCCAAGCTTCATCTCACCTGAATCTAAGCTTTATTTATATATAATATACTACGTAGATATAATCTTGTCGCAAAGATTGAAGATCCAAATAGAATAGATAAATCTAATGCCAACAAGATTAGATAGATCATGATAGATCTTATTAGATACCCTCTGGTAATTTAACATAGCTATGGAAAACCACCATTTTTAATGGGAAAATCCACTATAAATCACCATTTTCAATAGCTATGTTAAATTACCAGAGGGTACTCTTAGAGGTTCCAGATCTCCACGTAGATCCAAGAGCGGTTGCCAGGTACCTCCTTTGAGGCGGCGTTTATGGCCTCGGAGGAGGGGGGCTGTGAGGGAGATGCTTCTAGGCTTCCACTTCTTGCACGTATCATATACAAAAACATATGAATACTACGGATTACTACGGTACATCATATTTAATGATTGTATATAATATATATATATATATTATATTGCATGATATATGATATATTTTGTATGATGTATGATATATATATATAATGATACATGATGTATGATATATGACATATGATATGAATTAAATCGTGAAACGATAATATGTTATATCGTTTGCAGAACGGTAACTTACAAATCTGTTCGTATTCATCCATTGGCGTCCCTTAGGTCTTAAAGAACTGTATGTAGACTTGAGCTATTTTTCAATGAGAAAAACTGCAGCCCTTGCTGTGTTGAGGAGTACTTGAAACAGCTGAACAGCAAGTTGGAGAAGCTCGCGGAGATGATTCACGGGGACACAGTCAACGAAGGCAAGGACTGCTCCCAGTATTGATGGAGGGGAACATTTACAGGACATTTTGAGTTTATAGCGGTAGGAACCCATAGTTTCTCTGGAGAAAGTTGTTGAACCCTACTTTTTATGGCTGGCAACGACATGGTATCCCTGTCATGCTTCCCAAGAACATCAATCCATTGAATGACGGTACCTTTAGTACCTCTAGTACCAACGAATTCTTCGACAACAGCAGGGGGTGGCACTCAATTTATAGGACTTGTCTCACACAGGATGGTTGAAATGCAGTTGTTCCAGCTAACCCATCCCATCGCTGCAGGGGGTGTGTCCTATGATGACATCACCTTGTGGCCCAACCTGAGACGACTTACCATCGCCAAGGGCGTCCTGTGGCCAGAGAAACTCCGAAAATACTTGTTGTACATGGAAGATCTTTGTGATGTGCCCATTCTTGAGGTCATGGCCATCTGAAAATCTGAGGCCACATCTAGGTCATCCTTTGTTGGTCCACTGGGGCCACATAGGTGACAAGAAACCCATCAGTTTTCGTGCCGAAAAATGCCGGCTGCTGATGTACTTTCCATCCCATGGCGTGGAGGTTGGGGTGCTGATTGGAATTTCGCATTGGTGTCCAATTGCACTTTCAGCTATCAGTCGCACGCGTGTTTCTTCGTTCTAAACAGCTACAGCACGGGTCCTATTGAGTCCTGGTGAAATAGTGGTTACTCCTCCCAGTGGCCCATATTTCAGGAGATGTTTTTCCAGAAAATGTAAGGACCCCTATTGTTAAATCACAATGTTGGTTGGTTCAATCACCCATGTGTATTCATTTGTGCTAGGAAATTTGGGTTGACATTTCCCATAGACGTAGCTGGGCAGCTTATTGATTTCTCCCAGGATTTGCTTGGCCAAGGAGCTTTGATGTCAGATGCCCAGGGCATGTTGCAACGTGGGCTTGGCAGTGAGGATCAGTGAGGAATCTGCCCATTTCTTGTCAAATTGAGGAAGTCGTATGATAATTATTAGCTGGATAAACAAGCGGGGCCCAGACGTGCCCTCAACGTGGGCACCAGCCAAAAGTGCCTAATGTACCCAGTGCTAACCCTCGCATTCAATCACATTGGTAGTGGGTACAGATCAGAATCGGGGTACCCAATAATGTAATATAATATTCCAAAAGATGACCAAGAAATTTCAGTCATTTTAAGTCTACCTTTATGGTATAAGTCCATATTCATGGTTTATTCTCATAGATTGTCCCCATTTATCCTTTTTTTCTAGTGATTTCAGTATCTTTACCTTGACGTCATGGGAGACTTCCGCGGTTCCCGAGGTTCACCAGTGCCCTGGCCCAAAAGGGCCGTGGTGAACATGAAGAGTACCCGGTGGGACGTGGACGCTTGGAACCTGTGGGAGTTCCTTGGACACCAAACCTGTGGGATTTGATGTCTGGAGTTGTTGAGGATGCAGGATGCAGGACATATTTTATTTAGGGCCCAAGGAAAGATTTTGTATCAGTTTCTTTATCTTCAAGATGTTACTTGACGACTTCAAGATGTTACTGTTAGTTACTCTGTGGATCATGTTGAATATATGAATTTAGGACTTTCCCACTTTTCTATCGCTGTGAGGGATAACCGTGACATCCTTTGGCCACTGGTTGATTCATAGACGGGTGGCCCCGACTCCCTTTTCTTAATCATTATCATTCGGAGCACACGGTGCCATACCTCCCTTTCTAGTTTCATAATTTCTTGCCCAAAGGTAGCAGTGTAAGAAACAGATCAGGATTTGTCTCAAAATGTGGAAGCTGAAAATCGCATGCTTTTTCCTTTTCCTATTATGATGGTCAGAAAATCCATAGGCCATTGATATGTTCAGAATGCAGCAATTTGCCAATTTCCAGAAGTGAGATGACTGGCAAGGGATCAGGGGTTCTGTGTTTGTTGTGATCAAATCCATAGTGAAGATCATGGCTAGTCTCATTGTGACTTCCGTGCTATATATTTTTTGTTTTGAAGACCATACTTTTCTGCTATCACTGCTATACCTTCAGGATTGTTAAGAAACAAAGATCATCAACCATAAGCAAAACATACCTAAACTCTAATTTCGAAAGCCATTGTACCTCCTTCCAAAAGGTCAAGATTATTCAAATGATTATTCAAGTGCAATGGTAATCAGATTGCAGTTTTGGCCAGCCTGCCGATGTGCAATACCTGCTACAAGATTGGTCATCCACACCTTGAAACAAGGCCCATCCACACCTTGGTCATGCAAAAGTTTGAGGCTGCCAAACTATTCTGCCACGCTAGACCATGCTAAAACTAGGAACGATCAAGACCACCCCATTTCTATCCATTTCTGGAAACTTGGACTGGAAAAACAAGGCTGGGTTCACCGCACTGCATTTGAAAAAACATAGGCAGTAGGAATCTTTCTGCTGGGGCCACAGGTCATGATCTGTGCGGTTGTGATGGGCATGGCATCGATGGAGGCAGCAGCACTGCATTTGAAAACATGGTATTGGAGAAATATGATGAAACTTGATGAACATATGTGGGTTGACCCGTAGGTTCCTAGACACGATCGATGTCGGCTCGAGCAAGAAGTTTGTTGCAGCATCAGCAGTGCCTTTGCAGGTGATCAGCCAGTGAGTTCCTGAGGGGTGGTGTTCCAGTGGAGCCAAAGCTTGAAAGTAACACGGGTCAGACATGGAATCTGTTCTCCAACAGCCAGTTCCAATCACTGAGGGGTATTATTTGTGTTCAGTTGTAAATTCAGTGGCTTTCTGACATTGTCGAAGCCAGGTGGGGTTGTTTGAAAATCGGCTGCCCCAAACTCTCACGGTTGATCATCATTTTCCCTATGTTTAGTGGCCGTGAAATAGGGTATCTGCCACAAAAATCAGCATATACTCCATATGGTTGCTTATATCCCATTGGATTCATAAAGCCTCCGATTTCATGAATCTCCATTCTACCCCCATTCTGGTTGGTTCATATCCCCTGATCCTGCGCGTTCAGGTCAACCGTACGCTTGGTGAAGTACTGGGACCGCACTGATGCCCCAGAAGTGGTCCGGGAGTCCCAGTGGACACCTGGCTTTGTCGTAGAGGATACCCTATGGCAAGCGTCAATATTTAAGGAGAAACATGGATGAACATGATGGAAAATGAATGAAAATGATGATAAACATTGGGATATTTTTTTGTGGTTCCAAAGTTTGAGACAACAGTGGGGATATGAACTTCTGATGCACATGTGTATTTCCAGATGCATTCAAGTCATATTCATAGTCTTCTAGACTATACGTTTCTGTAATCAAACATGGCTAGGTCCGCTGGGAAATCTCCATCAAAAACATGCCGCGCGCGAGGCTCTCACTGTGACTGCTGTCATGGAGTCCCAGTTGGGGTTGCACCTCCAACCGCTGATCATGGTGGGGTTAGATTTGATAAAACGTCTCAGTTTGGGTTCCACGTTCCATGTCAAAAATGTGTCATGTTAACATATGTTAACTGTTTCGATTTGGGTATATTCAAGATGATTTTGTCTATAGACACATCCCACAGCTGATCCAGAATTGAAAGGAAAACTCGACCCTGGTATTTTGAGATAGTCAAAAATCTATGGGTTTCCTCCTCACCATATCCTAAATTGCATGACTCAGCATGCAAGCTGAGGCCTTGCTTCTAATTGGTGTCATCTTCTTGAAGGTGCGTGTCCCTGGGTGAAGTCTGAAGGTGGACTTCCAACATGTTGTGGCCAAAGTTTGGTGGTGAACTCAACTTTGCTGGTTGAGTCCCCAACAAGGTTGGGAAAATCGCTGTTTTGGGCTGTGAAAAACTCCGCTTTCTGGTAGATTCCACACTTGTGCCGGATAGTTCCAGATTATTTTGGCTTGATCTTAACGTCAAGATGTGACCAAACCAAGTTCATCCCCAAAGCATGATCTTAGACAGGAATTCAAATGCAGCTTGGAGTAGGAGAGAACCATTCCAGATTCAACGAATCCAGATGGCTCATTGGCCACGTTTGTCCACCTGGACTGTCCAATACTTCAGTGGGACAAGACGAGCGAGTTGGTATTTTCCCAACAACTGGAAGCCAAAAGATGCGGTTTGTCTGAAACTAGGGTACCCCATATTCTACTAGATTCTCATCATATTCACTATCAGAATTGCTATTTGGGGCTATACCCTATTTTCAGACACACGGCAATGCCTTCAGCGACGAGTTGCTCGCCATAGGCGGGACTCTGGCAGTGGTGCAAGGGGGTCTACGAGCGCAATCCGCAAGATGCCGTGAAGGTGCGCAGCATGGCACCAAAAGGGCACCAGGTGGCACCGAAAAAATGGTGACCTCTGGTGGATGTGCCGGGTGATGTGCTCCTGGCCTTGGGAACTGTCCAAAAAAAAAGCGCCCCGTCATTTCGAAAATCAACCGAATAGTTGGGATGATTTGTTGGTTCCCCTCGTGTAGAATTGTATGACAATCATTTATGAAATCCTGCCTGATGGCATGGCAGGCATGCACAGATTTCGAGCCATTTCCTTCAGTCCAAAAAACCAACAACACCGATTGCGGCAAATCCCCTGCAAAAAAAAAACAGAAAAACTGGTATGCGGGAAGTGCACGTCATGTTTGCAGAACATGCTTGGTCAATATTCCTTCGTTTGAATATGTTGGAACGGCTTCGAACATATTTTGCGTATACTGTTCTTTCCAATTTTGGGTGATTTTTTTCCGGATGGTTTTTGATAGCTTCAGTTGGACAAACCCTACGGCCTCTACAAAATCCATGTGTGCCAACATGCTGGAGACAATGTCAATGTGTGAAGATTTGACCCAGCATTTTAGAATTTTATGAATTTTGCAAGGCCAGAAACCTGATACAACAAGAAAAACTGTGTGAAAAAAATGTGTTGATGGCTGGGATTTTGTATAGAATGTAGGGTTTGATCTGACCCATGTTTGTGTTTTTTAAGAGCCCTCCCTTAGTTTTTCACTTTGTATCTACAGTATTCCAGCCGTCAACCTGACCCTACTTGGACAGAGGATTATGAGCCACGATTACAGTACCCATCATTATCCATTTTTAATGATTGACTTTTATTAACCATGAGTAGCTACTATTATTTATTATTCCGTATTTTCATTTTTTCCAGACTCTTTGAGGCCACGGAAATTGGAAAAATATATTCATTTTATTTAAATCATAGTCACTATTATTAACCATTATTAACCAGTATTAATAGCCATCTACAAATCCAGGCTCCACCAGGGTCCATCCAGCTGCAGGCCATTGCCCAGGACAATTTGAATGACGTGATCTCCAACATCGCTGCCCTGCTGGCCCCGGAGGCGGTTATCCCCTTGGGAATGCCTACGGCTAAACCGCTAAACCTAAGGAAAATTTGTAATGATTGGAAGTTATAACTTTAAGATTACTTTAAGTAATTCATGTTTAATGATAGTGAATTTGAATGATTGATGGTGTTTAATGATTGTGAATTTGATTGATTGAAGATATTGAAGGCATCATTAGTAGTCATATCATCGAAGGAATCGCACGATGTTTTGTTCCATTTGCGGATCAATGTGGCGCTGGCCATCACCTTTTGGGAATGTGAAAACAATCGTTGACCGTTCTGGACAGTATGTTCGAGCCCGTGCGATTCTTTGCGTCTACATCACATCCTTCAATGGTAGACTCTGGTAGACTGGCACTGTCATGCTTATTTTGTTCACCATCTCCCTGGCATCCTGTTTCCCCTCATCCATTCCCCCAAAAATCTGCCACCGATTCATCCCCTTCCAACAAAACCCGAATCGGCCAGATGATTCTGCTGGGTCACCAGTTTTGGCTGGTGGATCCATTGGCTGGCATTGGTATTTCTGTTGGGACCCAGCATCTGACTGTAGCCGCTGTGTCGTGGGATGTTGATGAGGTTTAAATAATCTGGCAGACACAGGATGATTGAACATCTCAAATGGAGGGCAACAACAGTTCTTTGCAGCTGGAAATTTCTGAAAACTAACGACAGAAACCTTTGAAGCATCCCTTAATAGAGATGAGACCCAGCGTATCACTCTTCTTGTTCCGATGAGTTTTGCGATCTTCCAGGATCATTCAAGTTGGATGTTCAGTTCAACTTCCAATCCACATCATTTTGAGATGGGTTGAAACCACCATTGATGATTAACTGACGATACCTGTTTTTTTGTGCACCGGAAATTTAAAAAAGGCTCAGACTTTTGGATAGTTGAGAGTAGAGGCCGTCAATGACGGCTGTGATTTTGCGCCTGAGAGATAGATTGCTGGGGTTCTTCGATGGTGCAGAGGGTGCAGATGCCGAATTGGCTGCTGATCCTCTCTTGGATGTAGTTCACCAGTATCCTGCGACTTGGCCAAACATGTTCCAACCATGACTAGAAGATCCATGACAACTCTTACTTGGGGCGGGCAGGCATAGATTCGACTATGAGATGGTACGATGATTTATGAATCTATGACTAACATTTCATAAGTTGCCTCAAGGTCGCGTAGGAATAGATGGCTGCTCTATTCAAGGCTGCAGGCTTCTGAGCCGACAAGAATCTTGCAGACATCCATAGAGATTTAGTAGTGCATGGTTGCCCTTTGAGAATGGTGTGAGGTGTTTATGTGTGATATGATATCTGTATTTGAACTGTTGCCAGCTTGTAGTTGGGAAAGGAAATTAAACGATTTTGCAGTACCCAGTCCTTTAATGCGAAGGTTGAACGAGTAGGGAGTAGAGGTAGCTGAACCAAGCTGAACCCCTCTGGCTCCATCGCTGGGTGTTTGGTTCCGGTGGGGTTCATCGGCTTCCAACGTTTTCCAGGAGGAGGCAGCCTGGTTCATCAAAGTTGTCATGTTCTTCGGGAGCATCTCTGGTGTGATCATTTCAATTCCCTGCGGAGTTTTCCTTACGATGTACTGGGATCCTTGGATGCCCTTGGGGGATGGCCTTTTGCAACAGACTGGAGATGGTGCGGGAGGCAATTTGACAAAGTTTTTTTTTTCCAGACAGCATAGAACACATGGTCACTTTAAAGGCAAGGAGCATTTGAGGTGAATATCTGGAAAACTTGTTTGATGCAACCAACGGATTTTTTTTACATCACCAGGAGTCGTGGCAGAATAGAGATGACTAGTTCAAAATGGCTCAAGATGATCAAAGCTTGACGCTGATATTGGATGATTGCCGCCCACATGATGCCGCACCTCAGAATCTCTGGTTAAATACCTCCAAATCCTTTGTAATTAACTAATATTTTCCTTATCAATCCTTGCTGGTTCATATTCTTGAGCCACAGCCATGCTTAGATACGAACTGTTCCGAGTCAGACCCGAGATGTTTTGAGTCATTCCGAGTCATTCTGAGGCGCCCTGCGGGCAGTGTAATCGCCCCTTGCGCTATTGGATCCTTGTACATTGTATCTTGAGCTGTTGAATTGGATCTGGTTGCTCTGATGCCATCGTGAAGCCAAGGGTTGTTATATGTTGTTATCTGGATGTTTCTGGTCTCGTTCTTTGCCTTTTCTGCCTTGATTTCTGACTTTTTGGGCAGGGCGGTGCTATTCTGGGTGCAAATCTGGATGCTTTCAACCTTTCAGACCCTTGAAGCCACAGATGCGCCCGCAACGGGCCCGGAGGTATTTTGCAGTTGCTTCAAGCGCCGGTGCGGCTAGTTTTCTTCCTACGCCTTTGCCATGTCCAAAGCTTGAACAACAACATCCAGGAATGTGTCCGCCAGCTGACCCACAGCATGGCATGGAGAACCAGCAAGGCGCGGCAACGCGGCAACGCGTCTATGACAGGGCCAGTGTCGTATATGAATGGCGGTGATTGCCAGCTCACCATGCATAATTAATATATATATATAATATATATATAATGTATATTATATATAATATATTAAATTATATTATATTATATTACATTACATTATATTATATTATATTACATTACATTATATTATATTATATTACATTACATTATATTATATTATACTATACTATACTATACTATATTATATTATATTATATTATTATATTATATTATATTATATTTATCATATATGTATATATATATATGTGTTTGTTATGCCTTTATATACTATACTGAGTTACTGAGTATATAGTTATCCCAATGAGAAATTGGCTCCTTTCAGTGCCAGCCAGCGATACGCACCAACTTGAACTGAGTGCCATTGCCTCCTGCTCAGGTGGTATCAATTATCACCTACGGATGGTTCATTCTGGGTATCTGCGGCTTCAGATTCATATGCATCTGTTTGGTGGTTTGCTGCTTCTCATTGGGGATGCCGTAAGGAAAAGATCTGTAAACTATAACCGATTTCATGATCAAGGTCCAGTTGTTTTGCAGTAGCAGTGGTTTGAGATGCCTTACATATATTATCATATTTATATATATATTGAACTGTTGATGCATGGGGCAACATCCAACTTGATATACTTCGACCAATATACTCCAACCGCAGCAACACATGCATACAAGAGATCCCTGAAGGGACGAGATCAATGGTGAAGCTGGCAATCTGGAAATGGTTCTGAAATTAAAAATCAAATGGTCTCCATATGTTTTCATATGGATGCACCATATGTCTAAATTCCAACACTTCATTTTTCAAGGTCTCATGCAGAGGCACCTGTGGTGAAATGTCACAAATACATCAGAATCTGAGCATGTAACCGAGCGGCTCTCCACCTGTTTTCCAGATGTTGGGTGGTTGGATTGACATGTTCCATCCACTGCTGGATGTCGGAAATTGATGGAAATTGAAACATCCAAGGTATCGTTTGGCTTTTGAACTCTACATATTGTAAGCCATGTCCAGGACATGGAGCTGCGGTGTTTTCGGGGCAAAGTGGATCCTCAAAGGGTACGCCATGGACACAATTCGGGTTATTTTCCGATATTAAAATATGTTAAACCGTACGAATGATGATATATAGAAAGATAGGGTTCAAAGAATCTCAAGTCAGGTTGATATGACCAGTCATGGAAGCAGTTTCCACGTTTGATGATCAAAGGTGAATCAATATTGTTCTCGTTTATCGTTGTGGAGAAGCAACTCTGACTTTTGATAGAACGGAGTAAAGAACACTGCACTTTCTTGTAGCGACAAGTGCTTGGAACAGAATATAACAGTTGTAAGGCAAGGTTTCACCAAAAGACTTGAACTCTACAAACAACTATAGAGACGTTCCATGAACGCCCTGGGTGACCGGGGCACCAGCAGCAGGATTGTACCGTCTCTCGTTAGCGGTGATTTTCGCTGCAGTGGCCAGACTTTTGATGACCCTCATTGTTTTCTACCACTCCTTTCCACCTCGTTTCCAGGGCCACTTGGATATGGATATGGGAGATTTTTGTGACACGGGGGGCTGTTCTAGACATGGATTTTCAGGATTCCTTCTACATATTACATCGGTATCTATGGACAACCCATTCCACACTGTGTACTAAAAGCGGAGAATCTTGTCAGTTCCTCACATCTAGTTGTCCGTTCCCCAAATCAGCGCACTTCTTCATGTCAGTGAATAGATTCATCTTGTACTTAAGCACATTTTAGGAACGATGACCTTGAAGACAAGATTTGATGCCGACAATGTGATGGTGATTTATGTGATGATCAACATCACAGTTATCACAGTTGTCCATGGAATAGTGAGGGTCCTTCTCTTGATCCACTAAGGCCAAGGATTGCCCCCGAAACCCCGGGGAGCTAATCAAGAGCTCATCGAGCCTTGACCAAATCTTGGTTGGAGTGGGGCGATGTCGGTTTTGCCCATGGCAAGGTGGAAAATCTGGATTTGGGGACCAGGGGTGGCCTGCTGCCAGTGCTTTGGGACTTTCTGACCAGTGATTTTCCACCTCACAAGAGATTCCACATGCCACTGCGTCACAACAAACAGCAAATATATTATGTCGCTCAGTATTCTTCCATGAAGCTATCAATCGAGCATTGCGTCTCTTTGTGTTTGACGTGCAGTATCTCTAATCCCTTTGATGGCAGCTCCACTTGCATAACGGACAGGCTAAAAAACGATCACAGAAAACTAGGAATGATTACCCTGCTAGAATGCTATAGAGATTTGTTTTGGACACGTGGTCTGAAAACCCCAAAAAATGGTCAAACATCTGCATTTCCCATCCATTTCCCATCCATTTCCCATCCATTTCCCATCCATTTCCCACACAATTTGATGGTGAATCCTGCATCGCTGGGCATCTAAGGACTCCATGCCTCTCATCGTCTACTCCCAAGAGATGCGGGGAGAGGCCAGGTGTTTACCAGGTGATTTGGTCTGGCTATGGACTTGTGGAACTTGTGGATGTGATTTCCCAGCACTTTTATGGCTCAAACCATGAGGTTTTGGATCTATGATGGATTCACTATATAGGTTGTGTGGGTATGGGTTTAAAAATCCTTCGGTAGCCCAAAGAGGCATGGGTATAGAAGAAACACGAAAAGTGACTAATTAATTAGTCTAAGGTTCCCAGGGCCCAAAATTTCTTGGCACGTCACACACCCCTTCCTGGTGATTGGCAGTTGCACCTCTTCACATGAGGAACTGACCAGGATGTGTTTTTTCAACGCACTGATAATTCAGGGGATGGCCTGGCCATGCAATTCTGATCCTTCACAGGAAAATCATGGGAAACCATGTGCGTCAGGTGATCTACTGTACCCCCAACAAAGGACAACGTGAGAAGACTTGAACGGACCAAACGGACCCAACACCGAAAGTCTATGTAAAGCAAAACAACCAACTTTGCAGACCAATTCCATACCTATGTACTGCTTGAGCTTCAGGCAGCTTCAGGTGGATTTTAATCCTATCAGGATGGTGGATACTCTTTTTGGAACCTGGGTAAGTGCAGGCAGATTTTCCTTCGTAGCTGCAAAGCCGAATGATCCCATGGTTCTGATATGTCTCCAGCATTCAAAGAATCCTCTCTGGTTTGTTGAAGTTATTGTTGTGGAAGTCATTCCAAGGCTATTCTTTTCAGAGGATATGTCACCCTTGTCGAGCAGTGTATTCCAAGTTCTATGAAATCCAAATTCCAAAACCGACAGAGTTCGGGCTGGGATTGACTTCCTGGAACTTGCTTCCAGCTGCAACTGACACCAAGTCCTTCCATGTTTCAGACTAGTGAGGTCTCCATCTTTTTCAATGGTAAACCCAGTAAACCCGGTAAACTCAATGAGAAACCTCAGTTCTGATCAGATTCACTCAGCCAACAACCCCCAGATGCTGCAATCTTTTTTTGTGACCTTCAAATGGGCCAATGATCCCCATGTGATTGGCCAAAATGATGATCCTCCCGCAGGTTTGCTGGGAGTTCCATCCCCCAGTTTCGGATGTAATCACCCCAAAAACGAATCGGAAAGACATGAAAAGGCTCAGTTTACCGTTATATTATAAGATTTTAGATGATCTTGGATGATCCTAGATCTTAGTTGATTTTATGGATTTCCCAACAGATATACCATGATATACCATGATATACCATGATACACCCATATTTTTGGGTTGCGATAGACCCAAGCATTTCTTGCCCTGAAATTGGTGACGCCGGAGGAGACGAGTTGTGCGGTCTGCCTTAGCGACTTCGACCGGGACGCCGTCCTGCGGCGGCTTCCCTGTGGCCACAGCTGCTTGGAAAGAAGCGGCTGGGATGGGGATCCCAAGTTATGGCCATTTTAGAGGTGGAAGAAAAGGATTATGATTATGGCTTATGTTAGATGATTTTGGATGGATTTTGGATGATTTTGGATGGATTTTTGGGATATTGATGAGAGAATGATGACTGTATCTCATCAATCTCCCTTAAGATTTTAAGACTGGGATGAAGCCAAGGCATTTAACACCAGTCATCAAGCCATTTCATCTCAGTTCTGGGATCTAAATGTTTGGGTGTATTCATGGAGGCACAATTCATGACTCATTTTCAGGATCTGAAGTGGGACCTGCTAGATCTACATAAAGGGGTCAAAGCAGATAAGACCTGGTTGAATTCATATGTGATGTAGAGTGACCTAATCTTCTTGGCCACAAATAGAGGAATGTACGACTACAGTTACTACAGTATCCCACTCAAAGCAACAACGCTATCTCCTGGGGTGCGAAGGGTGGTAAGCTCGGCCCAATGGAGCTCTAGAATCCCAATGAACTGCTTGTCACGGGTTCATTTTCCAGAACCCCATTGAAAAATCTGCGACTAGTGCGACTAGGGCCTGTCGGAGCCAACTTGAGACAAAATCAGAATTCCAGTGATATTTGCTTCATTTGCACCAGATGTGGATCCGAAGTGCCTCCAGGCTTCCAGGTGCCATGGTTTTTTTCATCTTTGGCCAAGACATCATCCCAGGTCCACCAGGTCCACCAGGTCCACCAGGTCCACCAGGTCCACCAGGTCCACCAGGTCCACCAGGTCCACCAGGTCGACAAAGCCGAGGTTTTCACCGTGGCTGCATCGACAAATGGTTGAAGCGGAACAAGGTCTGCCCGTTGTGCCTCCAAGACATCGAGGTCACGGGCTCACCGCTCTCGCGACCGTCCAAGAAGGTGCCGTGAACGGCGATTTTCTGTGGCGATTTAGGTGTGGGATGATGTGAATGAATTCATGGGGAGGGGGATGGAAATCCAATAATATGGTCATACATGGTCTATATTTTTTGAAAAATATCATATAGTTTGTACACATATATATATATATACACACATAATCCCATTCGAATATATGGGGAGTGGGATCGACCTAATTTATTGATTGGATATATGTAATATTATGTAATAATGATTCAATAGTGTGGATGGGTTAGATTCAAATCCCCGATGGTGACGCCCGGCGAGGCCATCTGATCCCAAGGATCCACGACGCCAAAGTCGGCGATGTCACGTCGGTCTGCCCTTGGTGCACCCAACCAGTCATATGAGGTTGACATAGAAATAGAGATTAGGATACATGGGCATTGTATATATGAATTGTATACATTTATATACTTATATATAGAAAACCAATATAGCTGAGGTTGGTGGTTTCAAAGACTTGCGAATGTCCCATCCCTCAAGTTAGTATTGTGATTGTCGATTGACACATGTTCTTGGGATGTGTCGTTGAAACCACCAAGCAGCTGTGTTGGCGCGACAGTTTGTATGAGAAGAAGGTTGAATCAAGATGTGCCTTTTGAAGGCCATTCTTAGATTTGAGGATGTTGGGTACAATGGATTTGCAGGGCAAGACCTATGCCATGCATTTTCTCATCGACAGATAGCTTTCAAGACTTGGTTTGCTCCAGAAATGTGTGGAAACAGCAGAGCAATAATAATGAACAAGATGGACGGTATATTCGTTTTGGAATTTTGCACTTTTCTTACGATCATCACTTCAAAAGATTTTGCACATGTTGAGACCATATGGCAAGACCAAGTAGCAGAGCATTCACGGCCCGAAATCGAATTTCACCCAGCCGGGCCCTGAATTCCGCTTTCCCAGGCGCAGGGAAACAGCCACCCAGCCACCGGTCAGTGTGGTCAGATCCTCCTGAAATATGGAGCGGTCCAATCATGGGATTGGTTTCCTCCAAGCAAGACGTTCCCTTCTAATGTGGAGAGAAGCAGAAAAGTGCGAGGCGAGATGGGAACCTATTTATCAAATTTATCATCATCATATGTTTTCACTATAATCACAAAATGACTCACAGCGCTCCTGTCTATAGGTTGATCATGGTTGATTTGAATGGTGACAATTGTGGCCTCCCTGTTGGAATTTTATGGCGGATTCAGTTTTCCGGTCCACTCCTGGTCAACCGCAACTGAGATCTACATCATTTACACCTGGTTGGTCACAGGGTCAGGAGCCCAGAGAGATGGGCAGCGACTCGTCAAAATAAAACACATTGGATTGGTTTAATGGATTTTTTAAACCACTGAATTGGGGGGTTCCGAAAAATATTGCAAAGTGTTATACAATACAATGTTCCTTTGAAACAATTTCAGGAACTACCAAGCCCAAATGTGAATGTGTGAAAAGGTCTTTTTGATGGCGCAAACCAAAACATTATCATCCTTGTTCTTTGGGCTGAAACGGAGCGGAGTTTAAGGGGCAGACCTTTGAAACCTGAAACCATTTGTTCCCTTCACTGACACATTATCTATTGGGAAACCTGAAACCATCAGTATCGCTGCAGAATCCGGAAGGTTTGATCCTGGGATGGATGCGGGCCCCTGCAGTACAGTCCAGTGCGACTTATATAAGTTGCTTTGATAAAATCTTTGAAATGGTTCCACATAAAGTGAAACATCTGATTGTGTTTCAATCATGACAGTCATGAACCAATCCCGTTCGAACGGAGTAGTATACAGTATTAATGGCGATTTGTACGTTTCTGCTTTGGTAAGGAGAGAGTTTCACAGGTTGATGGCTGGGTATACGTTTCACCTCTCTGGATAGATGAAGGAAGGTTTCTGAACAACGACCTACAGTGTAGAAACCTGTTCACATCAAAGGATTGATTTGAAGGAAGATTTACAGGAAACCATGGTTTGTACATGTTTGTACCTCTTATTGAAACAGTTCATCCATTTTGTGCATAAACCGCTGCAATCGGATTTAGAATGTTATCCATTTCTGCAACAATATACTCAACTGAGCCTCGGGATTTTCCCTTCCAGACGACCAGACATCGGTGTTGAGGTTTGAACAAGTGGAGATGATCGTTGGTAGCTTAACACCCGGGGGGTGGACATTCACATCCTGCATTGAACGGTTGGTTCTCATTTTGGCAGGTGTTGACGGTTGGACAAGACATGACAAGACCATCCAACACGATTGGCTTGGGAGAAAGTTGAGAACTTGAGTCTTGTTTCACTCATTGGATCATATCATATCTATTGGAATATGATCCAATATATGATTCACCATATAGTTGGTTCCATCCACATATAAAATATCGACCATATCTATTGGATCCTTGGATCCCAAGAGCCATACATCCCATGGATCTGATAGCTTCCGGGATTCTCCCAGCAACTTGCTCATCGCTAAAGCACTACGTATAGCATCGTATAGCTGGAATGAGCATCAAAAATCAATCACCAATACCTAGCTTGTTGAATTTCGATTTCGCTTCTGAGATGGAACTTTGGAATACTTTGTAATATTATTGCGGAACACATAAAGCACATAAATATGAAAACAAGTGAAGAGAGGGATGGACAGAGAGAACATTGTTGTTCATTTTGGTAGATGGTCGTGTGATTTCCCAGGTTGGAAAGCGTGCCGATCCGGACTTTCTGCAGAAAGTTTACAGCATTGTTGAGGTGCAGCACGTTTGAAATTGATTGAGTACCTGCTGACATTGGAAGGGCACAAAAAAGCAAGGGGTACTTCCTTCCCTTTCTTAGCTTGCCTGTGATGAAAGATTTCAGTATCGGCATTGGCTGGGGGCTCTCTACAGATGAATGGGGAATCTACGACACGGCGCTGCGGCAGGGGCACGACACGCGAATGCAGATGGATCAGCTCAACGCTTATCACTTCGGGCCCAAGTGACCAAGGGCGGAAGAGTTGGATTGTTTTGGGCGCAGGCAAACTCAACATAACAGTTTTGTTTTGAGGGATGTCAAAGATGATCTTGTTTTGAGAGACCTCTTCTTGGTGATTGATTACTTTAGGCTGAGCTTCCCCTTTTCTTGTTAAGACTTGCTTTGTCCAAAATGAATCTGACTGTGATGACAAAGTCCCCCAAGTCATCATCTTTGAAGGGCAAGCAACATGCCAAAATGAGTATGGAGCATTGCTCAAGCCCAGAAAACCTCAATGTTTGGTCATTATTGCTGTAGATAGTAGATATTATATGATATTATCAGTATGAACCAGTCAAGTTTTTGAAAGTATTCTCCCATCTTCTCATTCTTGCTGATCAACCCCCGGTGCCAATGTTACTTGGATCATCCCTGTGGATCAATTTCTGGTGCTCAAGGGATCGGTGCCAACAAGCACCTTGCGGCAGGTACCTTGTAGAGCTTGAAGTGGTCATGCCTGAGGCACCGGCGCAGCTGATAAACAGACTGGTGAACGGTTGCTGAACGTTGTTTCAGCCAACACGGTAAGTGAGAATGGAGGAATATCTCCAGCAGGCAAACCTGGACTTCATAAAATCAGTATCTAAGGTTGACCATCTTTTTTTTTCCCTCTAGCCTGTAGCTTTCCACATTTTAGAGACATGGATGTCCAAATCTGCTGGAACCATGGTCTTCAGGTCCTCAGAGGTGATCTTTGAACTCCGGAAGGGCTTTTGGTTCAACCACCACGCTTCGCTGCGGCGCGTGCCTGTTAGAAAAAATCAACACCGCCTGCGCCATGGCAGCGAGTCTGGAAAAAGAATCTACACCCCACCAGCACTTCTCTGATGATGACGACACATCAGACGAGGACCCGGGCTCCAGCTGCAAAATGACAGTAAAGTTGCCGGAGAGATGTAGAGAGATTCTTGCCTCCGGAACATGCTGGCGCTCTTGGTATGTGCTGGTGATGTTTAGTCATGAGGCAGACGTGAATTCTACCAGCCACAGGGGACCATGAAAAATGAACATTGACAGCTACATCTTGATCGAGAGAATGCCATCCTTGATTGGAATTCTCACTGGATAGTATATAAACACCCAATTTTTGTGGTTCCATTGGTACCAAATTTTGAGCCATAGCCAAACGAACAGTGAATCTGTGGTGACATGCCCTGGAACTGGGCCATATGTGTCATTGAGACCTCCCGTCGAATTGCCCCATTTCATTCCTTGATCATGGACCTTACTCTCTGACAATCAAACATGGTAACGGAACAAATCAATATTTATGTAGTTTTGGTTCATTTTTGGCAGATTTTCATAGATTTTCCAGAAACATGTTTTTTTTTGTCCCCAGCTTTGGCATGCTTTGAAGACCGGAAAGGGACTTCAGATCCTGGCTATTTCCCTGCAGGAAGCGTCGGATGCTTTCGTGACGGAGGAGGTCATTCCCACTTGCTAAAAAAACACTTTGACGAGCTACACATGTATCAACACAGATATTCTATACCAAATGATTTTACATGTATGCTGTATGCAACATAGCAACATATATAATAGTTGTTTTATGGATATAATATGATATAATATATAATTAAATTATAGACATATTAATACACACATAAATAATAATACATATATATATAGTATATATAGTATATGTAATCCCCAAAAGTGGATGATCTCCAACCTGCCAACATTTTAAACGAAGCGCCAGGTAGAGATGGAAAATGCCCAGCTCTCCAAGGCGCCGGTCTTCACGGCTGTCATGGCACCTCGGTCGATTTTGGGGATCGAGCTGAGGACTTTGGGGCGATTTTGGGGAGGAAAAAGTTGGGAAAAACCATGAAAAACCATGAAAATCCATGAAAATCCATGATTTTTTGGAGGATTTCCATAGATTTTAGAAGTTTTTTTCTGACTTGATCGCCCAGATGTTTGAACATCATGTTTTCATGATTGGATTTATTACATGACTCCCCCGAGAAGAAAAGTAGAAACGTCATGTCTGACATCACTATTTTTAAGTGGATTTTGTTTTGACATTATTTTGAGGGTTGCTAAATGAAATTATTTTGGTTTAGTGATTTTCCATCACTATCTCAATGATTTTCCAATTTTTGATGATTTTGACATCACTATTTTGACTTTATCTCCAGAAATTGGATTGGGTCGAGTTTTGCTATACCTCAGAGGATTGATGACTGATGTTTCTATAGCACAGTGATCTTTTTCCAGGGCACCTGTGAAATCTCAACCATCTCAGGGTGCTTTGGGTGTGTCTGAAAATAGGCTACCCCCCAAAAAATTGATGATGGTTAATCCGGTTCATCACTACTTAAGTACCAAAATTTCATGGTTCATCACAGGAATCACTGCTTATCACTGCTTATCTATGTTCCCTATTTTTTTGTGGCCAGCACTGGCGGCCCTTTGAGCCTTTGAGTTTTCAACCAAGGCAGAGAGTTTGGAGACCGCGGAGGCCCCTTGGTCGTCCATTTGGGGATGGCGACATTTAAGCGGCCTTGATCGATTTAAGGCACATCATCCAAGTTTTCTGTGATTACTATATATTACTATCATCGATTGGACGTATTTTTATGTTGTCATGATAAACTGTGTCATGAACTACTGTGTCATGATGATTTTTACTCTTGTTCATCCCAAGTTATCATGTCATATCACGTCATGTTCACGGAAAGGAACTCGGGAAATCATCCCTCTGGGCAAATTATAAGAGCCTCACCAGCCCTCATCATCAATGATCAGTCTCAAAGGAAAACCACCCCAAAACGGGTTTATTGCTGATAAACAACCTGTTGGTGACTCTTATCTCCAACTTGCCCAGATTTCTTGCCACCCAAAGCTTTTATCATTTTCCAAGCCGGGAACCGCCATGTTTCGCCCTGGATGTTTCTCCAGTGCCGCCCAGGATACGAAGGATGGGAGTCGTCACAGTACCTACAAAAGTTCTAAGAAGGCGAGAAGATGTACTCCAGAGGCCCATGGATGTGGGGCTGCTGTGCATTTGGTTTGCTGGGGATACCCTCTGGTAAACGTTTACATAACTATGGAAAATCACCATTTTCCATTGGACAATTCACGAACTAAATGGTGATTTTCCATAGTTATGTTAGTCATTACCAGAGGGTAGATCACCATTAATCACCATTAATCACCATTAATTATCATTATTAACCACTAATGAACTATCATCATTGAACACTATTGACCACTATTAACCACCATTAACCACTATTAATCACTTTGGTATGGGCTGTTTCAGCAGGAAAAAACACCATCCCCGGTGCTTCGTATGAAACAGCCGGAGACCGGGATCCTCACAATACGAGTCGTCGCAGTCGCATTTGACACAAATTGAAAAGTAGCACTTAAATTGACACAAAATGAACATCCCAATTGTATATCTTTGTATTGTGGATTCACCCCTTCAAGGACTCTCCTTTGAAGGTAGACCTTAGAATCATCTACCATGGGTCCATGGTTGGAATCCCAGCACTACGCCATGCTGCGGCCGCCAGGTGAAGGCTCTCTCAGTTTCTGCCGTCCTCTTTGGAACGATCACTGTGGTACAGATCTTCGCAGCAAGAATCGCGAATTCCCAAGCCCTGATGATGCCCGGTCGAGAACATGTTCAAGGAAAGCCACACCTCTTGGTACTGGCCATTTCTAGCGGGTAGATATATATATATATATAATATATATTTATACGGCAAATGCCTGGGCTTTGCCCGGAAGCGCAACCACAACAGGCAACGCATCAGCATCAGCATCAGCATCAGCATCAGCATCATCATCATCATCATCATCATCATCATCATCATCATCATCATCATCATCATCAAAATCAAACCCTTGTTGAAGATCTTCAATGAATGTAGAAGTTTGACGGGGGTGGGAGAATTAAACCCTTATTGAAGATCTTCAGTGAATGTAGAAGTTTAACGGGGGAGGGATTTTAGTATTCCCTAACACCTTTGTTGATCTTCCCAATTGAATGCAGAGTTGCAACAACATTTGATTTGGAATGGGGACCCTCTACGCTGCAACGCCTGGGCAAATAATGTAATATAATATACTGTAATATAAATAAATAAATATATATATATATGCCAAGAGGCACCTCTGTGATCTACCATGGAAATGCTGGAATGCATCGGATTGATGCTACAAGACAATTTTTGCACGCACGATTGAAAATACCTTCAACCACCATTGTCTGACACCAATTGCCCAGCCTGGAGATGGCCGTTTTTGTGGGCCTGGCACTGGCAGTTGCATGGATTGATGTGGTAATAAGTTGGTCACACAAGCAAGTGGACATACCTTCAGCCAACATTTGCTGACAAAAGCTGCCTAGCCTGAAGAGGGCTGCTGTGGTGAACGCAGCTGGCCTAGACAGGCAACGCTGAATGGAGAAGAATTGCTCTTAAGCATTGGTGCTAGCGCATTGCAAAGCAATTCGTTTCAAATGCGAAGCAGACGGAATGATTTTTTCTTGCTCAGACCTTAGGCGGAGAGTTGAGGCTCCCCTTTGGCACAGCAGTGTCAAGCTTCAAAGAGCCCAGTGGCCTGAAAGCCTTTCCCAAAATCTTCGACCACAGCCATCTGACTTATATTCATGCTAGAATGGGCTATGTGAGGAAAAATCATTCAAGGACAAAGATTTTTCAGGGTAAGTTGAAACTTGAAATTGTCACACGACACAAAGATTCACCCGGGAGAGGCTCCCTTCAGGATCATCTTAGCGCCATGCATCTGCTATCAGCCCTCTTTACTGTTGAAGCGCTTCAGCGCAGCACTGCTATCATGGACCAATGCGTTCAAGGCCCTCTTCTTCTCTTTGCCCACATCTTCATGCTGGCGGACCACTTCCAAGTCCAAGGTGGACGCAGCAAGGTGGATGATCTGTTGCAGAGCTGCGAGATCAATTCGGGGGAGCTCGGGAGGCACTTCCAAAGCCTGAAACATTTGCCCTGGCCCTCGCAGAGACAAAGTTTCATGCTCACAAAGGAGCTTGGAAGCGTGAAAGCGCTCCTGGTAGTCAGACGTGGCCTTTTGCTGGAACATGACCGAGTAAGCTTTCATCCGTGTTTCTGACACTGCTGCCAGCTCTCCGATGACTGCCAGAATGTCCTCAGCCGATGGCTCTCCGGGCTTCAACTTGCGGGCCACATGCACCAAGCGCAGTAGGCTCATTTGGTTTTCAAGCTGAGCTGGCACTGATGCTGGGATCTCACACAGAACTGCCTGCGCTCCACTAGTGACCTTTACCACCAAGATCCGCTGGCTGGCACACCCGCCCCATTTGTGGCCACAGCGGGCGCAAACCCAGGTGCGGCGGCTGGTGTGAGGCGACTCCAGCAAATACCAGCTGGCTGCACACGCAGGAAGCAGGTGACACACCTGACAAGAGTAGAGAAGCTGGCAATCCAAAATCTCTGCTTTCACTTCAGTGCTCGGCAATTGCGAGACCCAGTCTGATGCCTTTGACACACGGGTGTCCCGAAGTGTCGTCAAGTCTACACGTAGTTTCTGGGCTGTTTCCTGGCCAAGTGTCCTTTCCACACGACCCAAGAGGTTTCTCACAGATTCTTCACTTGCCTCACTCTTCATTGTTTTGTTGCTAAGCTTTTTGAACTGGTTGTTCGGCACTGACGGCTCGATGCAGGCACCATTTGCCATCTTGGCGAATGCAAACTCATTGTTGTGCAACTTCAGTCCACAGCACTTGAAGCATGCCTGGACCACTTCCTTTTGCCCCAACCTGCGTCGACATTTCACCTTCTCCACCTCAGTCAGATCCAACTCTGCGCCTGAGGCCTTTGCGGTCTCTTCTGCCTCAATCCTGGCCATGAGCACCTCGATGTCAGCATCCCGGAGGGAAGCGAATTCCCAAACATCGGACTTCTCAGCACTCAAGTATGCAAAGTGGCTGGCGTGCTCATGCTCATATTTCTTGCACAGCTGACACTGGATTGTTGTTGCCCAGCCCCTGCGTCCACCCGCAAAGGTAACGCTCATGGTCTAATCTGATGGGGAACTGGCAACCGTTTGCTGCTCGAGAAATAAAAACCACAGCATGTGTTAGTTCAGCGGAAGCTTAGCCAGAAAGTTAAGACAAGCGAATGCTGCAAGACAGTGCAAAAAACTGCGACTGCGAATGAACATGCTGCACACCATCCCTTCCCTGGCCCCAAGTGTGCCTGCTCCGAATATGGCGATATTCTTGAGCAGCTGGGAACGCAGTTCTGTCAGAAAAAGGTATCCCTTTCAAGAAAGGCTAGGACATTTAATCTATTTTTCAATGTTTCTCCACAACATTCCGAAGGTTTACCCAAAGATGCAAAGGGCTAGGATTAGGTCAGAAGAAATGTTCCTGCAGCGATGTAACTCTGGTGTATCATCAGGCTAGCAAGGAACGTGTTTGCCAAGCAAACGAAACCAAAAACGAAACCTGCTGACTTTCATGTGTGGATAATGGAGTGGCAACACCATCTGTCCACCTGTGCATCTAATCAGCTTAAAGCATTTCATGAGTTGGGCATCAGACAATGTTTCTTTGACTTCCTTAAAACTCAGTCCTAGTTCATGAGAATAGTAAAATGGAACAGAATGCCAACAGATGTTTGTTTCTGCATGTGACCCAAAGACTGACTACAAAAGTAGCTAAAGCACAACACTGATGCGCAATGAAAACGCTATTCGAATAGTGTGTTCAGCTGCAGTCTATGTAAATATCGTGAAACATAAATGACAACAGACGCCCCTATTTATATACGATATATAGTACAAATATATGTTTTATTTAAGTAATAAACAGATAATATTATATATAACAAATTCTATATATATCATAATATATATAAATAAAATATTTCATATTATATATTAAATAAAAAACATATATATATTTTTTAAGTTATAATATTTATATATAATATATATATATATTTAATATTTAATATTATAAAGATAAGATATAAATCATACATGTTATATACATGCTATATTAAATATATAATTTATAGTTAAAATATATTAGATTATATATATTATATACTATATATGTATTATATATAATAGAAATATATCATATTAATAATACATATTATATTTTTTATTTATTATATATATTGTAAAAAGCACAACTATATCATATTAATTAAACAAATTAAATCTTTTATACATAAATATTTATTACAAATTTTGAAATGAACATATTTATCAATAATTTAAACACATATATTTTGTAAATTATATGTGTTATGTAAACGAATATCAAAAATATAATATACAGGTAAAAAAAACATATATATATGCATATATATTTAAAAGATTGAAAAAATGAAAAAAATAAAAATAAATAAATATAAACAATATATATATGTATATAAATATATATATACTGTATATAAAATATTTAATATATATAAATATATATAATTTATATATTATATAATATAATATTATGTATATATATATATTTATATATATATATATTTATATATATATATATTTAAAAATGAAATGTATAAATATATATATATAAATATTATATATATAATATATAAATAAATATATATATATAATAAAATATATATATATAATATATAAAAAATAAAAAGAATAGACATATATACAATAATAATAAATTTTACGATATATAATATATAATATCGTATCTAAAATATATAATATGTAAAAAATAAATAAAAATATAAAATATATATATACTATATAAAATACATAATATATAATTTGTAAATGTTTTATAATATATAAATTATATAAAATATAATATATATAAAATATTTCAAAAAATAAAAATATAAGTAATATATAAATAAATAATATATTCAAAATACATAATGTAGATTAAATATAATATATATAATATATGCAATTTTTACAATGTATATAATATATTATATATATAATACATATAATAAATA